AGGTCCAGGACTCAAACCGTGGTTGACTACATGGGAGTCCAGCGACATAGCCATTACACTAACTGCTGGTCCCAAGGGAGGTTTTTGACTTCCTATATTATAGCCTTCATCTTCAACAGTTCTATTTGATTCATTTTTTGTCTGTGGATGAAGAAGAGTTATTCTTTTCCCTTGGGGGAGAGGTATTTTCTTGGTTTCTCATATTCTGTCTCTGCAGTGATATCTTGTCATTTGATGGGTTATTCATTTCTTCCTAATTTCTAGAAGTTCAATCTGAGCAATCAGAGATTCACAGGAGGTGGGGGTCTGCAAACTCTTTGCTGTTCTGTTATTCTCCCTTTGGGTCATGTATTCAGTGGGAATTAAGGAATATGTTGACTATAATAGTATTCGGATACTTGACTACTTTTCACTTAGATCTATCTAGACTCTCAGTGCATGGAGGCAAAGTGACTTCTTAGCAGAACATCTTCATTTATTCCCTGCAAACACTAGAGTTCAGCTCTTCTGGCAGACTCCTAAATAAAATAATTCTTAAAAAAAGAAAATATATGTGGTGATATTACTAAGAAAACCTTAAAATAAGACTAAAGATAAGGAAATGTCCTATAAGGTACTAAGATACATTACAAAATATTAAAAACAAGGTGGTATTAGTGTAAGAATAGAAATAGGCCCATGTGTATTTCTGTGTGTATCACTATACATGATAACGATGGTAAGGCAAATTGATGGGAAAAGGAGGAATTGGTTAGTATTTAATGGTAGGAAATCTCTATCACCATGTAGAATAAATAAACTATATCCCTACCTAATTACCACGTATGAGAGTAAATTCTAGATGGATTAAAATCTAAATGTAGATACCGCAGACTGTATAGGATGGGGTGGATTCTGGGGGATGGGAGTGAGAGGCTTAGGAACGCATATCTAACAGACATAGAAATGGAAAGTTACTTGTTGAGGATGATGTATATGGTAGTATCTTTGACTTGATTGGTAGGCAATGCATGAAAATGCTGTACTGTATGCTGCTAAGATGTTCTATCATTAAATTAATGAGGTCTGAAAGTGGTGTGGTAGTTAAGGTATTGGACTCCCACATGGCCAACTATGATTCAGTTCCAAACCTGGTGGCTTGCAAATCATGCTGGGCGCATGTTTGTGTATGCCTCAAATCCCGGGAGAATGGAGGAAAAGAGATTGTGGCATAGCTATCTTCCTTGGGGAGGGGGAGTGATTTCTCACTTTCCCTCTCACTATTTCTGTCTATCTCTAGCAAGTCCATATTTGCCTATGACAAAACCTAAAAAAAAAAAAAAAAAAAAAAAAAAAAGATGTATTGTGATTAAATTAAAACTCTAAATGTGAAAGGTGAAACTATAAAGATAACAGAAAAAAAAGTAGAATATCTTTTTGAGCTAGGAAGAGAGAAGTAATTAAAAAAACAAAATCCCCAAATCAAAACCACAAACAAAAAAAACTCAATGAATTTGATTTCATGAAAATTAACAACTGGGTCGGCCTTATAGTGCTTCAGTTAAACCCTGTGCCTAGTGATCTGGATCCCACATGGCCATCTGCAATTCAAATCTCAGCCCCAACAGCTTGGAAAACATGCTGAGCAGGGGCAACCGTAGATACCAGAGACAGTTTGGAGGGGTGTGGGTTATAGGTAGTGGGAGGGAGGGTAATCAGGAAAAAAAATAAATATTTAATAGACACAAAAATAAAAAGTTATCTGTTGATAATACATATGGTAATATCTTCAACTTGACTATTATACACTGTATTCATGCTGAGAAAAACCATATTATACATTGTAGAGATGTACAGTAATTAAATGTAAATTTTACAAAAGATAATCATGCTGGGTGTGTGCTATGTGTTCCTGGGAACCTGAAGAGATGGAGAAATGGAGGAAAAAGAAGTGTATTGTGATCATGCCTCACTGGGGAGTGGTCTCTCTCTCTCTCTCTGGTGAGCACATGCACCCTCTGACAATAAAAATTCAAATTAACTTTTGTTCAAAGAAGGTGGTTATGTGGAAATTTAAAAGAGAGAGAATATTTGCAACATCTGAACTAATAGCTGGACTCTATAAAGAACTCCAGAAAATCAACAGGAAAGATAGGAGCCCTGAATGTGCCAATTATACAAACAGGCAATTTACAGAAGAGACATTTAGAAAATATATGAAGTGGTTCCCAAATGTTAATTAGTACTAAGAAAATGCAACTAAAAGTTTAAGATACTGCTTCATAACTGTTAGACTGGCAAAAATTAGAAAGCTGGAAAATGTCAAGTCTAATTGAGGATGAGGGAATACAGGAATTTTCATACATGGTGAAAGTATGGACTGGTGCAACCATCTCAGAGAAACATCTAAAAGTATTGGTGTTATTAGTCAAGTATATGTACACGTTATGATACAATCATTCTGTTGTGTGCAAGTTCCCAAAGAAATCCTTGTGCAGGCCAATAAGGGTACATGTACAAGGATGCTCACTGCAGTATTTGTGGTACTGGAGGCTGAAGGCAACTTTTTTGTTTATCCCTGAGCAAGTATTCATGGAAAATGCAGCAAAGGTACCCTGATTGGTTACCAGGAGCATTAAAAGAAATAGATCAGATGTATACACAGCAATTTGGAAAAACCTTATAAACATGATGTGGGAGGCCAGCCTTGTGGCCTAGTGGTTAAAGGAACCAGACCCCACATGGTTAACTGTGTTCTGAATCTGGGCCATGGGAGGTTGAAAGATATGCTGGACATGTGTGCATGTGCCCCCAAATCCTGACCAAATGGAGAAGGGAGTGCGGCTTGACCACATCCCATTGGGGTGCTTTCTCCCTTTCCCTTTCTCTGGCAAGTGCACACCCTCTATGGCAATAAAATATAGGTTAAAGGAATATAACAAACAAATTTAATTCATAAACCGTGGTTAGATCCTGGGATCAAAAAATAAAAGTAGCTCTAATAACATTTTAGGTATAATTGGGAAATTTGAATATGGACTATTACTTGATGACATTATTCCTTAATTTTCTTAGGTGTGATAATGGTATTGTGAATATGCAAAAGAATAATTAGCAAGTTATTAAGGGTATATGGGCTTTCATTATACTATTCTTTTGAATGTACTGAATTTTGAAAAATTAAAAATTTGAGAAAAATACATGCACACACAATAATACATATTTTGTGAGAATGCATATAAACAGAAACATATGCATAAAACAAAAAATAATATTTATATATCTAGGGGCTGGCAGATGGTGTGGTGGTTAGGGCACTGGACTCCCACGTGGCTGACTGCGGTTCAAGTCCTTGACCTGGTGGCTTGCCTTCTCACTTTTCATCTCTCTCTCTCTCACTGTTTTGCTCTCACTCTGTCCCTTTCTGGTCAAATAAAAAGAAAGAAAGTTAAAATAAAGTAATTCTTTTAAAAAAAGTATATATCTACATAACCTACAAAAAAACACAGTGAATCATTCTCGTTTAAAAACTCTACATAAATGGCTTCATATTTCATGAACCTTCTACAAGTTGTATTTTATCTCAGAACTGGGTTGCTAGAATTTATTTGGGTTGATACATGCACTTTAAAAAAATAATTATTTATTTAATTTCATTTATTATTCTTTTTAATTTCATGAGCGAGACGGAGAGAAAGTCAGCCAACAGGTTCAGGACTTGAACCGAGGTTTACCATGTCAGAGTCTAGCACCTTAACTACCTCGCCACCTGCCAGTCCCAGATACATACAATTTTCTTCAGTATTGTATAGTATCCTGCTGTTTGGTTACACCACAGTTTATTCATTCTTCTGTTGGTTTACTTTCAAATTGTTTAAATTTTTTCTTCATTACAAACAGTTCTTACACATGCCTCTGACACTACATAAGAATTTCTCTAGGATTTAATAGTCTAGGAGATCTATTTATCTACCTACCTATCTCCAACAGAGTTGCTGGGTCCCAGGACCATCTTCAACCACTCTGTATACTTCTTGTTTCTGAAAGTAGTAATACCAGTTTTTCACTCCTGTAAAATATTTCATTGCAATATTTTTCCCTATAGTTTGTGGATTTGGGATTTGTTTAAAAAGCTCTTCCCTAGTCACAGGTCACAGAGACCTGCATATTTTATATTAACTTTATAGTTTTACTTCCCATACTCATAGGCTACTTCTCATATGGAGTAAGCAGGTATCCAGTTTTTCCTCTTTATGGTGAGCCCAACTTCCCAATACTATTTACTAAGCTGTCCAACTTCCACTGATTTGTGGTATAGGCCTGTAAATTCACTTTTTTTTTTGAGAGGTTTTTGCTATAGGGCACATGCGCTCTCCAGAAAGACAGAGACAGAGAGACAGCAAATTCACCCTCCTGCAGAGATAAAGTCACATTAACAGGTACAGTGTTAAGTAATAAATGCTGGGCTAATTGTATGGTGCTCTGGGTTTTTAACTCATAGAAAGTTTCAGAAAAATGACAAGAGCCAGGTCTTAAGAGAAAAAGTAAGAATTTGCAAATGCAGGGGAAAGGTGAATGTGTTCTGGGCTGGTTTGGAGTTCGGAGGAATATTGTGTCTCTAGGTTGAGTTAGAAGCCATGGGGACCAGCAGTTAGCGTAATGGCTATGTCGCTGGACTCCTGTGTAGTCGACTGCAGTTCCCGTCCCGGACCCGGTGACTTGAAACTCATCTAGAGGATTAGAGATTTCGGCGTGGCCATCCCCCCTGGGGGTGATTTCTCGTTTTCTGTCTCTCTGTCTGGAGAGCGCATGTGCCCTACAGCAAAAACTTCTCCAAAAATAAAAAGCCATGGATGTAGGAGCAGGGAGTCCTGTTTCTGTAAGGGGTAGAAGTCAGAGGGATTAATTTTCAATGTCAATGTGCAAGAGGTGGAGGAACATACCCTCAGGGTACAGCCCCACCCCACGGTTTAACCTTGAGGAGGAGGAGGGGCTGAAATTAAACTAACAAGAAGATAACATTTTCTAATAGTTACTGTTTTTAATGGAAAACCTCGCTTCCCAGCCAGGTCAGGAGCTCCTCGTGATGGTTTTTGAAGAAACATTTATTTGCTCCATTCCAGAGATATGTTTGTTCCCTCTGCAAATGCTGCTGCTCTGGTACCGGGGAAAACGGAGAGGCTTCCAGTTGTTTAGGCTCCTGCTCCGCCTCCGGTTCCTGGTCAGGGTAGGCCCAGCCATGGATCTGAGTTTAAAGAGAAAGTGCTGTGAGTAGCTGCTTCGGGTTTGTCTGAGGCTCTCTGAATCCGGAAGGTTAGTGGGAAAAGCTAAACCAATTTACTTCACAGGGAGAGTACTGGGCCAGACATGTGACCCATGCGGCCATTTTCTCACACTCTGCGAATCGCCATCTTAAAAGCAGACAAAGACACTAACCCTCACTCGTGTCTGTTGCGGGCATAATACTCGCTTGGTCAGCAAGGCCTGGGAATACACATTATTTAACCCCAGCGGCCTATGCAATATTTTGGCTTACTAGTAAGTTACATAAACACAACAGCCCACTCGCTGCTTTTCCCTACCACTTTCCCTTCCCCCCTGTCCTATTTCCTTACTTTCGGAGTAGCCAGGAGGCGGGGCCAGCGTGGTCTTGAGGAGAGGACAGGCGGGCGCCAGCCGTCAGTCTGAAGCTCCGCCCCTTCAGGGACAGGCCGAAAGGACTGGGATCCGGAAATCCGAGCCCAGCGGCGCGAGTGCGTCTTCTAAGCCGAGGTAGTGTGGTGCTGTCTTTTCTTCTCAGACCCCCACCGGAAGTGTAGGTAAGAGACTTCGCTTTTTTCTTATGGCGAACCCTACTCCCAGCTGGCCGCGTTATAAGGATATCTATTGGAGGTGAATCAGAGATGCTGGCTAGCCTGGCATAGAGAGGTAAATTCCTGGCTCCTTTCCAGGGTAGAAGGGCCCGGAAGAGGGGCAGTGATCGCTCTACACGTGGAGACGCGCCGGACTGCACTCCGCGCGGCAGGGTCGAGCATGGCCTCACTCCATCTCGAATGGTGTAGACCCCGGACACACTATGTAGAGAGGCACAGACCCCACCTGTGTGGAAAAGCGTCTATCGCCCTGCGCCCTTCAGGATACTGAGGCTCCCTGTTTGTATTCTCCTGTAGTAGACAGGCATCTGTCCACCGAAGAGGTGGCGACTTGGACTCCACTGTATACACATAACCCTGTCTCTCCCCAACTCCTGCACCGTATCTAATTGACAGAAGCCCTACCCCAACTCCTGCAAAGCCCATAGATCTCCCCTCCCCAAAGTGATTGGAAGCACAGGCCTTGGTTTATGTAGAACCATGCAGATTTCTTCCTCCTTCCAGTCTAGAGTGAGTCCTCATTGTAGAGAATCAGACCCAAACCTGTTATCTGTAAAGAAATGCTGTCTTACTGAATTCGTAAAGGTCTTACCCCAAAAGTGCCTGCCAGCAAACAAGAACAGACTTTAATTCATGAAGAAACAGATCTGCCCTTGGAGGGGACCCCGAGGTAAGAGGGGTGCACCTCATATTTGTTCCTTTTCTTTTGAGTCAGAAACAGATCATTCCCCACCTCCCCCAGCAAGGATCACAGAATGTAGCAAAGGAGACCACACTGACCTATGGGTATAGAGAAATGGAACTCCCCCTTCCTGTAATGTTGAGGGACAGTAGCATCATTAATCACTCCACAGTGCAGTACATATGGGCTTCCCCCTTACCCAGGGTAAGGGAACTCAGATCCATCCCCCCAAAAAAAAATCACAGACCTGTTCTCCAAGTATAAGGGTGGACCCATTGAATTTGTAGCTGCACTGCCTGCTGTCCCCCCACTATCCCATGCAGAAAATCAGAGGCCCTATTCCCTTCAGTGTTAGTGATCTGCTGACTTCAACTCACATAAAAGAGAGAGTCTTACTCCACATCTCATGGAAGGGTCCAGAATACCCCATGGCATGCAAGATGCAGATTATCATATTCTGAGGTGCATTTTCCTTCTTTGTTAGTGTGACTATAATGCCACCTCTTATGTCAGGCATATCAGTTTTGTCCCACAACTGTCTCTAGGGTAAAGAGACTCAAAATCCTCCCCCACAATTTAGTGATACACGGTCCTGTGCTTCTCTTCCATGCAGCAGTATTACACATAATCACTGTTGCAAGTTTTTCCAGTTTCTTTGTGCCCCAGAATTGGGGCAGATGGTATTTTACCCCCTAGCCCCCAGATTGCCAAGTTTAGAGACCCAACCACACATTCAGGTACATATTTCCACCCTCCAAGATTTTACACTGGTCTCAGTCTACATAGGCACACAGTAAAAAGCCCTGATCAGAGGCCCCTTTATCCCACAATTTCCTGGGATCTGGTTCCTCCTTCACCTCTCCCAGGGTAGATGAAGCACAAACCTCCTACTCAGGAAAAGAGACAGTTATCATCCCATGTAGAAACACCATCTTTATATGTCTCTTTCCCCTCAGTGTGGAGGGGCTTAATGTTAGTCCCTTACCTAGGGTATAACACTACAGAGTGGAGTATTAAGGACCAAGAATCCCATATGATGCTTTGAGGTACTGCACTCAAGAAGAGAGGTTCATTATCCATCCCGTTGGGTAGTGCAACACTGCCTTCCTTGTGTGTACTCAGTCATACCAGGCTCTAGCTCTAGTATTGCCCCTTCTCTCAGTTACCCTAATTGTTAGGGCTTCATCATTTTCTTGACATTTTATTTTACTGTTAGGGAGCTTAGGATTGTAGTTCTCAGCTCTGTCTTCAAATTGCTTTTCCCATTCTGACAGGAAGAAAGGGGGCAGATTTGAACCTACCTGCTTTCAAACCAGTCATCATGATGAAACTTAGACACAGTGAGTTTCCTGTACCACCCTCTCCCCATCCTATTTTTTTAATGAATATTCATCGTATTTCACAGTAACTTTTTTCTTTAGATTTTTGCCAAAGGGGATATACACTTGCCAGGGAAAAAGAGAAAGTGAGAAATCACTACTCCTGGGGGGATTGCCACACTGTAGTCCTTTCTCCTCTATTTTCCTCTTGGGATTTTGGGCACACAAGCATGCATACTTACTGAGTTTTTCTTTCTTTTTTTAAAAATAATTAATTACCATCTCCCCTAGGGGGTGATATCTCACTTTTTGTCTCTCTGGCAAGTGCACATGCCCTGTAGCAAAATCTGTCTTAAAAAATATTGATAATGATGAAAAAGACAATAATTTGTTTGTTAAATAAGGTAGGTTATAACAATGTGTTAGTATCACAACCATTTACAAAATGAGGAAGTATTACATGCAAAGATTAAGGGGAAAAACTGTATTGTGTGAGAAGAGTACTTAGAAGGCAAGATCTCCAGGATATGTTCATTGAAACAAGTAAATTGTGGGCATCCTGAGGCCTGGTAGTTAAGGTGGCTGAATCCTATATGACTGACTACAATTTGAGTCCCAGACCCTGTGGCTTGAGAAACATACTGGGCATGTGTGTATGCCTGCCCAATGTCCTGAAAGGAAGGAGAGATAAACAAGAGATTTTGGAGGGCCAACAGGTGGCATCATGGTTAAGGGTGCTGGACCTGGCAGCTTGCTTTCTCACTTTTCCCCTCTCTCTATCTCTTTCACTCTGTCTCTCTCTGGTCAAGTTAAAATAAATAAATAAATGAATAGTTAAATAAATTAATTCTTTAAAAAAAGTTATTTTAGTATGACCATTCCCCACAAGGAGTGCTTTCTTGCTTTCTCTGTTTTCTGCGAGTGCACGTGTCCTTGAAAAGTTTAAAAAAATAAGGTAAAAGGGACCAGGTTATGTTGCTGGACTCCCACATAGTTGACCATGGTTTGAGTCCCAGACCTGGCAGCTTAAAACTCACACTGGGCATGTGTGTATACTTGTCCAAAATCCTGAGAGGGAAATGGAGGGAAAGGGATTGTGTTGTGGCTATCCTCCCTGGGGGGTAATTTCTTGCTTTCGGTCTCTGTGTCTCTCTGGTGAGTGCACACACACTATAGCAAAAACCTCTCTCTAAAAAATAAATAGGAACCAGCAGTTGGCGTAATGGCTACGTTGCTGGATTCCCATGTAGTCAACCGTGGTTTGAGTCCCGGACCCGGTGGCTTAAACTCACGCTGGGTGCGTGTGCGCCCAAGATCCCGAGAGGAGAATGGAGGAGAAGGTATTGCGGTGTGGCTTTCCCCCCTGGGAGGTGATTTCTTGCTTCCTGTCTCTCTTTCTCTCTCTTGTCTTTTTGGCAAGCGCACGTGACCTATAGCAAAAAACCTCTCCAATAAATAAATAATAAATAAATAAATAAATAATAAATAAATAAATAGTAAGTTGCTGAAAGGACCATAGTATATTAACTTTTATGGGAGAAAATGGGGCAAAGTCACATAATTACATAAATTAAATGATGCACAATAAACTGATAAAATGGTTTCTTATGGCAGTATGGGGATAAGTGTAGAAGGGAGACCTCTCAGAATACACCTTTGTACTTTGGAATCATGTGACTATTGGCCTGTTAAATAAATAACAACCCTATACATCCACAGCTATGGAGGAAATGCTGACCAATTAAATAGGAAAACTACATGTATACCCAAAACAGAGACCTTCATTGGTATATTTTAACTCAGATAATGAAAGGCTCCAACTAATGGGGTGATTGCTGGGTAAGCTAGGGGGTTGCTGTGTGGTATAGCTACTAGCTCTTTGGTCTAGGAATGCCTTGGACTCAAATGATAATGAAAATAATTAAATCTGGGAAAGTTACCAACGAGTCCTACAAAGAGTGTTCAAATACATTTTAACTTATGCATTTTGGAATGGTTATTTATTTAATTTTAGAGATTTTTGCTACAGGAAGCATGCACTCACCAGAGGGACAGAGAGAGACAAAAAGTATGAAATCACCCCCCAGGGGGCATGACCAAACCACAATTTCTTCTCCTCCATTCTCCTCTCAGGATATCACTTCTCCATTCTCCTCTTGGGATTTTGGGCATGCTTGCACACATGTGCGGCTTGAGTTTCAAGACGCCAGGTTCTGGGACTTGGACTGTGGTCAGCCATGTGGGAGTCCGGTGATGAAACCATTACACCATCTTCTGGTCCCTGGAATGATTATTTTTTAAAGGAGATATTTTATCACTTAAAATGTTTGCAATCATCAGTGTTGGTGACACAGGTGTGGAAGTAGCTTGTCTGAGTGCCTTCCAGCCTGTTGATTGGCTAAATACTAGTAAATACTATAATAGTAGGGCTCTGGACAGGCAAGGGAATCGTGACCTTGTATAAGAGCATGATAAAATGACAAACTATGGAATTTTAGCTGGACAAGGAAGAAAAGGGGGTGGCTGATGAATAACGAATTGAAGAGAGTTCAAATCTGCAGGGGCTGGACAAATGAGCTTGAAAACAGGAGAGAGAGGTGTCTCGAGACTGCTTTCAGAAATCCAAGTAGTAAGTGATGCCTCCATAGGTGTAACTGCAGGAATGGGTGAATGGGTGGGTGGGTGGCTGACATGAAGTGGAGATCACTGGAGGTGAGGATGTCAAAGAAAGTGGGAAAACCAGGTTGTTGGAAAGGTTGTCCAATGATCTCCAAAATCAGCCAGGTAGCTGGTGATGGGAATTGGGTAGAAAGTGAAGTTACAAGGGCAAGCTGGTGGTGCAGAAGCAACACAGTACTCTGTGATGCAGGACCCACGTGGGAGGTCCCTGTTCAATGGTCAGAGCAGGATATGTATATGTCCTTGATCTGGGCTGACTGAGGCTGGAGGTAGATTGAGGGGTGAGAATACTTTGGGGGATGGCTGTCTCTTTTTCTCTGTCTCTTGTGGAAAAAATACATAAATACACTTTAAAAAGATTTTTAGGGACCAGCAGTTGGCATAATGGCTATGTCGCAGGACTCCCATGTAGTTGACAGTGGTTCAAGTCCCAGACCCAGTGACTTAAACTCACGCTGGGCGCATGTACATACATGCCTGAGATCCTGAGAGGAGAATGGAGGAGAAGGGATTGCGGCGTGGCCATCCCCCCTGGGGGGTGATTTCTCATTTTCTGTCTCTCTTTCTGGTAAGCAAATGTGCCCTATAGCAAAAACCTCAAAAAAATTTTTTTTTAAAAAGTAAATAAATGAGCCAGGTGATTCAAAACATGAGCGAAAGTGTCTCATAGATGGTAGGTATAGAAACCTGGTGGGGACCTCAAAAAGAACAGTTTTTTTTTTTTTAAGAGAGATTTTTGCTATAAGGCATGTGTGCTTACCTGAGAGACAGAGAGAGACAGACAGAAAGCAAGAAATCGCCCTCTAGGGGAATTGGTGATGCTATAATATCTTCTCCTCTTGGGATTTTGGACACACATGCACCCACACCTGGCAAGAGTTTAAAGCTGCTGCGTCCAGGACATGAACTGCAGTCAACTTCGTGGGAGTCCAATGACGTAACCATTACACCATCTGCTGGTCCTAAGAACAGGGATTTTTACTTATTTATTTTTTTATTTTTTTATTTTAAGAGAATTATTTTATTTAACTTTATTTATTTATTTCCATTTATTTGTTTATTTTTACATTCTTCCACATTTACTTTTCGTATCAAAAATTTTTGCTCATACTCAATTGTTCTTGACAGTTAATAAGCAATTTTCAAAATTTCAGAATACTGAATTTTAAAGATAATGTTCAAAATATTTCTTATGGGATCAGCAGTTAGCGTAATGGCTATGTCCCCATCAGACTCCCATGAAGTCAACCACTGTTTAAGTCCCGGATCTGGGGCTTAAACTCACGCCGGGCATATGCATGTGCCTGCCCAATATCCCTTGAGGAGAAAGGAGGAGAAGGGATTGTGTTGTGGCCATCCCTCCCTGGGGGGTTGATTTCTCGCTTTCTGTCTCTCTGTCTCTCTCTGTCTTTCTGGTGAGTGCACGTGCCCTATAGCAAAAACCTCTCCAATTTTTGGCTGAAAACCCACATGCTTATGTGGGAAAAGTTAGCTTCCTTTCAAAACGTCCATTGTAAAACGG